GTGAAAGAGCAAGGGCCACTTAGGGCCATTTTTGGCCCTGTGAATTTCTGAAAAATCAAAACTGCATAAAAAGTATGCAGTTTTGATTTTTTAAAGTCGAAAAGGCAATTGATAAATATCGCTTAAGGAGGAGAAGGACCTTGAGCTGAAAAAATACTTGTCATTCAATTTTTTTCATATTTTGTATATTTCTAATTAAGTATGTCCCACATATCTTAAAGCAGTTTAATCATTAGGTTTCTTACCTTATTTTGGAGATATTGATTGACAAATACTATGCCCTACAGTATCTAAGTGGAGTTTTAATTCTCCATGTTTCCGGGCGCATTACTCTGTCCATAATGGGATTTTTTAAGCATACATAAAAAATATCAAAGTGGACATGTATCTTTTAAAATATTTCAGAGTATAACTAGGATTTAAAATTCGAAAAAGCAAGTTTTGTCTATCACACTGCATCTGGATAGGGAAAATAACGCACTTTTTAAGACAACTTAAACAATAAAAAACGTAATTTACAAAAAATTCTATCATTCAATATTTTTTAATTTACGTTGAAATGCAAATCCTTCAAATTATTGATTAACTGTAAAAGTTTCGAATGATGAAGCTGACCTCATTATTTCACAGGACATCGTTGAAGAGGACATAAGCATGACAAAAAACGTGTCATGTTACATTTCTCGAGTACGGGAAAAACCAACTATGACGTCACACGTAAGCTAAATAAGCGAAATAAGATATACCTACATAAGATTTCCGTCATCAGCCATGCAAAAATAATTTTTGTGTCCCCCGTTTCTCAATATATCTGATTATGACCTGTTTTTTACATAATAATACCGCCCCTCTGTTCACCGAGTATGATCTTGCTGTACTAACAAATCATGGATGACGTCACCGACTTGTTGGACGCGCAGTTTAGGGAAACAGAGGAGTGGATCAATCTTTTTCATAATTTCATAATTTGTTAATGTTTACAAGAATGTTTAAACTTTTTTATTTTTTTTTTATATAAGATGGTAATTAAAGTTAAAAAAATTGTCAAAAAATTATACAAGAACTGATGCTTTACACGTTTTGCGCTTATATAAACGGAGACTATGACGTAGTTAAACAGAGTCATGTGACCATGTGTCCTTCATCCCCTTAAACCCTTGGTGACTGAATATCTTCTGAAAATGAGGTAACTTTCTTGCTGGTGAATGCATTATGACGTCATGAATTGCGTCATTATTCACAAATCCTGAATATTTCTTAAAAAAAGACCAAAAAATTCTGTTATTTTTCAATGTTTCGTGTACAGCACAACCTCTGATCCAAAAAGTGCAAATATATAATGAAAGAATTGCTTATGAAGATTATAAAACATATTTTAATTTTTGGATCGAGGGGTGTGCTCATGTTTTAAGAGCCATTCTCTGTAACGACTTGAACTTTTATATAGGAGCTGTGGCACGCATAGTCTCAGAATTTCTCCAAACGCTCTATGATAAAAGTCTTTGATACCGTAAACTCAAATCAGGCAGAAATTGGTTGCTACGTGTCATGGTTACCATGGCAACATGTCCTAAAGTTTGAAAAATGGCATTTTTCAACATGTTCAGAGTCCCACAGTTAACGTTTGCAGCAAAGCAAACAAGTGGCAGTGATTGTTTCTGAAAGTTGAAGGCCTGATGTCTTAAATGCATGATAAACATGTTTGGTAAATCAACTACTACATACGTTACTATGGAAACAAAGTATTCAAAAGTAATAATTTTGCTCATTTAATTTTACACAGTCAAACACTTAAGAATAAAAATAAATATAGGTTGAAATGCAAGCAAATAATAGACAAAAGATCCTTGTAACATATACCAAGGAAGAAATATGATATTTCTTATAGGTTGGCAATGGTTGCCATGGTTTTAATACCAAGAAAGGATTTTAAATTTACTCTCTTAGTGATTAAATTTAATCCTATCTTTTTAAAAAGCATATTTCTATATAACAAATGATCAATTTTTAAAGATGTTCATGTGACCCTAATTCTCACATTTCAAAAAATTCAAATTCAATTCTTTAAATAGAGTGTTGCTATGGAAATAAGCCGAAAAAATATGCATAAAAATCTGAAAAATATTCTGTTTCCTTGGATACGTACCCTTGTATGTAGATTCCCAAAACTTTTATGATTGGTAAATATGAACAACTAACCTGACTTTAAATTTTGACTGCCACCCAATCTCTAACTGGATGCAAAAAGCTGGCACATACGGTTTAATATTGATATAAAATTAACAAAATCGGACATTTTCCCTTCTTGGTTACCATAGCAACAGTGTTGTATTTTTCAACAAACGTTATCAATATATGATATTCAACTTTAGTTTTACCAGATAAGTACTATTCAAGGTGAGTCAAATAATATGTTTCTTGAATAAAAGGTAAGTAAATTCCTAAGGCAGCAAAAAAAATATCGTTTTAAACTACTGGTACATTGTTTCCATGGTTACACTGCAAAGTAACAATTAATCCCAATTTTTCTTATGTTGTCGGTGTTGCAAGGTCCTAAGGATGTATATGTGCCAGTCATGAAATTTATGATTTTTCCTGAAGATAGTAGCATTAACCCAATCTTAGCAACACATTTTGGATGGTAACACTGTGTTACCATGGCAACCATAAAAGTTATTTTTAGAATAATATTGCCAATACCTAATTACTTAAGGTCAAATATTTTTATTGTTTTTCATTAGGTTGTTGATTGAGTTTGATCATTTAACACCTATCATTAGTGAATATTGAGCGTTTTTCTGCATTTTTCAGCATCTAGAATGTATTCCAAATGTACCCATGGTTACCACTTACTTAGAGATAAATTCTAAATAGTTTCTTTATAGCATAAGTGGCAACAAGGTGTCAGGTTTTGGGGAGAATGGTTTGTTTGTTATTCTTATTCTTTATTAAGGCTTAATAAATATTCAAAGTAGCTGAAAATCTCAATTTTTCCAACTTTTCTGGCTGTTACCATGGCAACCAAGACACATAGCAACGAAATTTTATTTGATATATGTTTCTGGTGTCAAGTTGTAATAATGGGCAAAGTTTCATCAAAATCGGTGACCATGCGTGGCAAAGAAGTTTAAGTGGTTACAGAGAATCGCTATTAATTCTTTGCTGAATGTTCTAAAATACAGATGTTTTCTGCAAAAGTCAAGATCATTGCAACTTCAAAAAAATTGTTTTCCAATACCTGTACTCTTAAAAGGAAACTTTGCTATACAAACTGAAAGCACTAAGTCTCTACTTTATATTGATACTTAAAATTGGACATAGGGTGTTAGTCAATAAATTGGTATATCTACAGGGCTATTTTATGCAAAAAGTGAATCTAGCCTTAAAAAAAAAAAACTTTTAATCTTCACGATTTAAGTGGGTCGGTCGCGTTAGGGGAAACAAAGGTATTTTTTATTTTGGTCTAATTGATTTTTCTTTAACTTAAAGTCATATACTGAGTATGGCGTATTTTTTATAAGTTCAGACTAACTAAAATAAAAAATATCTTTCTATTTGTTTTATTACTCCATATAAAGATAGGACTTTCCTGTAAATTACACAATTTGAATCAATAACGTTTCAAAGATATTAGAAATTTAAAACAATAACCGATTTATTTACCGACTCCGCATTTAAATAACAGACACATTTTAAAGTCAATTTAACTATGAAAACATGAAGTTATTCAAATTCAAAATCGGTGACAATTTTAATTTGAATATAAATAACATTTATCATGTTTATCTACACTCAATCTCGTATTTTTATTTTTTAGCTCAGATACGCCATATATAGCTTTAAGGAAAATATCACACAAAGGTGAATCAGTATCAGCTAGTTTTCTGAATAAAACTGTTACATTCTCATAAATCTGACATCCGTAGACGTTAAAGGAAGTAGATACTCTGAGTTACGTGTATCATTTAATACATTTGTGATTGATATTTATGAATTGGTTTGCATGGCTGTGGGAACCTGTGGACATGGTGGTGGGAGGGAGTGCCCCCCCCCCACTTATTTTGCCTCCTTTGGGCTTGGTTTGCATTGGAAAAAATGTATTGTATATTGTTTTCTAGCATTGAATTAATTTGCAATATATCTCTAATCACTCCTTATCTAAGCCGATACTAGTTTTTTTTTTTAAACATTGCAACATTTTATTTCACTTTATGGCCTCACATGAGGCATAAAAGTACAAAAAGAAATAAATCAACAATGAAAAGGTAACAAATGAACAAAGAATTAACATATATACAATATTAATTTAGAGGTATTGGAAGGAATTTCAAGAGTGAAATAAAGACATTACAATCTTACAAAATTTCGCCAAGCCAATTAAGGTAAATTTATCATCACTGTTAAACAGGTTAGCAAAACTATTGATATTTTTCACTTTGTAAACTTTTTTCAGGTACATGTATGTACTTTCTTCTTTCATCATTGAAAAAAAATTGCAATTGAAAATATAGTGAAATTCATCTCTAATTTCTCCAACACTAAGACTAACAGAGATCACATAACCTTTCTGCTCTATCTATATTTAAAAACCTTCCACATTCAATAGGTAATCTGTGACTAACACATCGAAATTTGCTTAAACTATAAACAAGATCATAGGGTAACAAAGAAAAATATATTTCTAGCACAGGCACTTGTTTCTGTAATAAATTGTTTGACCCATAGTATAATAATATGAGTCAAAAAATTTATTACGGAAAAAAGTGTCTGTGTTCTCTAGACCAAAGTTTGTTTTGTAGATCCTATAATTAACACATTTAGGAGAATTAAAAATATTTAACTTCCAGTCTGATGTAAAAGTTTCTTTACATTGGTCTTTAACCTTTCTAGATAGTGGTAAAAAATCTGTCTTGATTTTGAATCGGGCTCAATGTTCACATTTCACCTTCCTTTCGAATTTCCTTCATTTACTTTTCTATTGTTTATTTTTCTTGAAGTTCTTCTTCTTCCAGAACATATACTGCCAGTTTTCTGTGTATTTCCATAAAAAGACAATTGTAGTCCAGTTTTGCTCAAAATCCTCCATAAATATTCTTTGAGCAGGTAAGCTTTCTGTAACTTAATATAATAATTAGAATTCATTTCCAAGTGTGGCTTCAGAGTGCAGTGGACCCGCCCGCATGCATGATAATGATACATGAGCCCATGTCTTTACAAGAGCAGTAATTAAACGCAGGTACTTTATATGTACTGGTAACTGTATAACCCAAAATGTTACGAGTTTCCTTTGCTGATAGAGAGTGATTATTGAAACATGTACGATATAAAATCAGAGACATACAAAAGCATTTTTATATGTCTCTGATAAAATATAAAATTTGGATAGACATATTTATAATTATTGGAAATTTTTACCTCAGGACATTGAAAACTACCATAAAATTATCTCCAGGATAAGGGTAAAACAATACCTAAATCTGTAAACTTTGAACTAAATGAAATGGTTCCATTCAAATGGGAGAGTACATATTCTTGAATTTTAGGGCTCTAAACATGATAAACTCATAAAGTATTCATAATTAATGAAGTTAACCATTACTTCTTTGTGTGTACAACTTTTTAATACACTTAAAAACGTTTGTTTTACTTTGTGAATGAGAAGTATGATTCATTTAAACACTGCTCTCACTTTTTTAGCTGACATATAGGAGGAAAAAACTGTGTGAATGTTACAAGAAATAAATTTTATTCATACAGTAACCTTTATGTGCAAGTTTATTTCATTTTGTAAACATTTACCCTTGCAGCAAATAATCAAAATGTACCCATTTAGACATGTCATTGTTTCTTATTTTTACATAAATAGTTTAATTGTGTTAAAACTTTTCTTAACCACATTAAAAAAGAATGTTGATGTGAAATTTCTCTAAATTTCAAATTTTTAAAAACTTAATTAGCACTAGTTGAAAATTAGCCAAATCATTATTGAATTGCTTGCAGTTTTAGACCAAATATATATGTTGCTCAGAATCAAGTTTGCTTGCAGTCTGATTGAATTTTATTTTAAAATTGAAGTTAAATAAATTAATTTTCTACTACAGATAAACACCACACATGGATCCTCCCATAGTACAACAAACATTTAAGGCAGCTCCTCTGACCACAGAGTTCCTGCTGCAGGGCAGTGTACTGGAGAGTTCTCTAGAGACTCTGCTGAACCGCCTTAAAGGTCTGTGTGACAATGCGGACCTTCAGCAGGAGACATTCCAGGATCACGAGATGGTCTTCCATATAAGTAGGTCAAATGGTCTTGCCATATAAGTAGGTCAAATGGTCTTCCATATAAGTAGGTCAAATGGTCTTCCATAAGTAGATCAAATGTTCTCCCTTATTACCTTATAGAAGGTCATATGGCCTTCCATATAAGTAGGTCAAATGGTTTTAACAAGCATGATTATGATCTCTCAACATGGCAGCTTCCAGCAGTCAGTTTGCACATACAGTGTAACTTTTCAGTCTATTAATTTCCAAGTAATTAAATAAAAACAAATGTTAGAATCAGAAGAAATTTATTAGTGACCATCCAATGAATTTAATATTACAGAGTTATTTAAATTTGTGTTCTAGCAGTAATCATAATTAAAAACTTACCATTATGATTACAAGTTGAAAAAATTGTAAAATGAAATTTATTGGCAATAAAATTTATATTTACTTGTATTTACAAAACATTGATATATTTCTGCAGAGAACAATTCAGTCCCTAACCCTCTTGTGTTTCGAGTCAGACATTCCTTGGTTCAGACAGATTGTTGGTAAGTATGGATTACTGTCCTTAATATAAAGCATGGATGCTTTATTAGCGTGACATGATTTGTATTTCTTAAACAATCTACACATGTACAGTTAACAAATGGTTAAATTTCAGTGTCTCAAACACTGATATCTCTAATACAAGGAATATATCAAAGTGATTTGGCAGTCCCAACCACCTTATGTTTTTTAACCTCATTAACTCGGGGCTTCAGATATCTCAAAGTTTTATCTCAGTCTCAATGAGCTCGAGATAACTAGGTTTGACTGTATATTAAGTGTAAAGCGATTTCACTATCAGGTATAATCAGTAAAATCTCCAATTTCTCTGCGTACCCTTTATTATTTTATTATTATCACAGATGTTAATGCTATATATATAATCACCCCTTCAAACAAACCAGTGTACAGTGTACAAACCAGTGTACAGTGTACAAACCAGTGTACAGTGTACAAACCAGTGTACAGTGTACAAACCAGTGTACAGTGTACAAACCAGTGTACAGTGTACAAACCAGTGTACAGTGTACAAACCAGTGTACAGTGTACAAACCAGTGTACAGTGTACAAACCAGTGTACAGTGTACAAACCAGTGTACAGAGTTCTGTAAATTAATATAAAATATTTCTTTTTTCGTTGACAGGTCTCTGAGATATCTAGGTCATGCTGAAGTCGGAGATAAAAATAGACCAACTCTGGTCAGGAACTACATAGACTGTCCCACCTCAGACAATGTGGTCCAATTTATTAATGAACTAGGATTCAGGTGTGTTAATTATTAATTAATTGATAAACTACATAGACTGTCCAATATCAGACAACATGTTCCAGTTTATTAACAAATTAGTATTCAGGTCCAGGGATATTGAAATGTCATAAGCTTAAGTCAAAATCTTTATGCTTTACTGAAATGTTGTAGAAGTCAAGCAGCCTAAAGCAAAAAATATTTTTCAATATTGCATTACCAATGTGCTGTTATCTGCAGATTTATGAATTAAGTTGACAATTAATAAAACATTTTACAGGTGATTGAACATTTGACTCAAGTTTAAGTTTGTTTTATGATCCTGGTGTGTTAAAGCTGAACACTATTTGTAAAAGGAATGTGTCTGCCATATTTGATTGGTCTCTCGCTATATCTGAAAACCCCTATATATAAAGCCACTCACTTAGTCACTGTCCAGTGAAATCAATCATCACCGGTGTAGACGGACGTATGCATATACAGCACTCGGTAGTGACAAAATATAACTGAGTACTTCTTATGCAGGAGAGTAAGATACCAAAGAAACTTACAACAGTTGAACAGGTCAGTGCAGTATACAAACAAACACAAATACACGTTACTGCAATAAAAAGTAAACAAAGGTAATGCAAGATAACCAGCACGCGTGGCAATAAAGCAGTCAGGTGTAACGAATGTGAAGAGTACACCCCGGTGCTGATATCGTAGAAAGTAAAATCAAAAATGGTGTACGCCTATTTATGAGTCGTGTTCAGCTTTAATGATTCATTATGAAACCTATACCTATACCGGTACCTTATTTGTGTAAGATTTTTTAATCATGATTAGTTTATAGTACATATACACTTGTAATCATGTACATGTATATGAAATTATGAGTTGTTCCTGACTATAAATTTGGGAAACACACCATCCATGTTAGGATGGTGTGTTACTTAACAGTAAGTAAGTCAGAGAAAGGGTCATTATCAAGTTTGTCAGGGAATAAAGGAGAATAATTGAAATATTTTTTGTGTGTGGATGATAATTAGAATGAAAGACCCAAAAATTATTTTAATATGATGAATGACACCCTCCAATGTTAATGAGTTGGCATCTACTGACAGTAAAATATAGTGAATCACTAGAGGTGGGTACCGGGGGTATAATTGTCCTGTTTAATATATCTGTAATTCATACATTATTTATAATTGCTCATTATTCTTTTGTACTGCATAAAAATATTACTTCATTGTAAGCATGAATTCCCAAAATCCATGAATCAAGACACATTCTACTGGTATTGTTTGGTGACAGTCCTGTTACTGTAAGGCTTTCAGTGATAAGTTTTCCCATTATTTGACACCTCAATATCAGGATTCAGATAATTGCTACTGAATTCTATTGTGAAATATTAGATTAAGGAAAGTAGTATATATACATGTATTACAAGGAAAACAATTGTATCATAGCTTGAAACTTTATTTTAAATTTTCCTTTTTCAGAATTGACCATGAATTTGTTGTGAAGGGTTTTTATTTCCATAAAGGAAGAATGAAGATAACAGTGTCAAAGTTCTACAAGGTAAATATGAGTAATATAATGTTTGTGACAAAAGATAAATACATGTAAAATTATTTTTAGTGGCAATCTCATTGCATGCAGTCGGAAAAGAAATTATCTGTACCTGAAATCTTGATTTTGTTGAGAATTTAGATAGTTTTTAATATTAAATGAAGATAGACATGCAAAATTAGAGAAAAATGTATGTTGACAAGTAAAGGTGAATATTGTACATTAAAGTTCCTGACATGACTGTTAAATATTTCTTTTTCTTTGGGTAAAACTTGGTGAGTTTCATACTTGCAAAAATTTGTAAATTATTTTAGTCAGCTAGGCTAATGTCGTACAATTAAGAATTCAAGATACAAACCTTTTGCAAATAGGAAACAATTTTTTGTCTTGTTTTGATTGTTAAGTTTTGCTTATTATGGTTTCTAAAAAAAACACATACACTTTTTAAAAATGTTGATTTGCTCTATCAGTTGAACATGACACTAATCCTGATTATTTTCTTCTTTTGACTTATGTAGATGAATCAGCCAGGAACCACAACCAATGACTCGATCGAGTCCATCTGTCCATCCTATCTCGTAGAACTCAGTGTCGTGACATCATCAGGCCAGGAGGGGGTCGGAGAAGACATAAAAAATTTCGCGGAGCAGCTTAAACCGTATCCTTAATTGTCAATAAAACACAGCACTCATCTATGTTAACTGTAGAACTTGAAATACGTCCTTAATTCAATGACTTATAAAACCTGTCACCATGGATGCAAGACCATAGTCTTAGTTAGAAATCATTACATGAATTTGAGGATAAAGGGAGGACTCAGTATTTTGGAAGTCACACTCTTCCAGGAGTTATCATGGTTATAGGAAGTATGGAGTTTTTCTCGTTGCTTTTGGAACATTGTAAGATAATAATCATACAATGTGATTGTTTCTCTGAGAGTGGTCTTTTAAAACAGCATTAGTTTGGATCTCCAAGTTTGAGCTCTCCCTCTATATATTTTCTGTGAACAGAAATACTTTCTTTTTGATCATCCACTCCCTGAAAGATCAAACTGGTCACAGTACACATGTATTATGTTGATGAGACTTTAAAGTAACTTAATATTTTGAGGGTTGTGGGTCAGGGAACAGAAGTACTATTATGGTCCTCATGGGTAAATGATAAGTCAGATGCCCATTTTCTTTTGAATAAAAAAAATAGAGGTTGCCTAAAAAACAGAATTACAGTAGTTCCTTAATATCCATAGATTAGTGATGCTGGAAAAAACAGACCACAGGAAAATTCAACTGGCTCAGATTTAAAGAAGGAATAGAAAAAACATACTCAGCAAGACTTAATGAGTGAAGAAAAATGCCACATAATCTCCAGTCAGAAAGTAAACAAAAACAAAAGTTTGTGTGAAGCATTCAGAAATGGTGCAAGTGAGAGACAGCAAATTGATCCTGTAAATATTTTGTGTGGGTTACTTATGTTCAAGATGTAAATGTGTCAGTATTTGATAGAGGACAAAAAATGACAGATATTACAAGAGTAAGCAACTTGTATGAAGAACTTGGGTGTACATTAAGGTGAAAATGCCCCATGGCCATGCGGTTCCATTTTATGTGCAATTCTGACTGTAATTAAAAGTCTAGGAGAACGAATTTTTGGAAGGTATAATCTTGCCTTGAAGGGGAGGTTTATATCATTTTCTTAATATTAGTGACATTACGTTAACACATGTACATGTATATGTATCATATATGCAGAAACATTTCTCATTCTGGAATTTACAGCTATTAAGGATGCCTTATACATTTTGTAGCTGTATATTTAAGAAAAACATGTATATGTTAATATATGTATTTGACCACAATATTTGTTATTTCATTTTTGTTCCTCTAAAAAAATGAATATCAATAGAGTTCGTATCAGTGAGATTTGTACAGGGTGTCCCAAAATACACCCTGTACATACAAAATAGATACCAGAGCTTAGAAATCCCTTTGAGGTGCATAAAAATACAGCGATCAGCAATCGGCGATCAGCCAAAAGAAATGTGTCTGTTGTCAGTCATTTCCTCCATAGCAAGAACCACAGTAGATTTCATATATCCCGAGTCCATTCAATATGTAAGTGACAGAATCGGCCTAGATTTCCAGAATGAAAAAAAAATCAATTCTTCAACAGACTTACATTGTGATACGAAAGTCTACAAATATTGGAATCAAACCGCGGAAATAAAAACTTGAAATGATTATAAGGCAAAGTGAAACTTAAAGACGCAAAAAAGGCGTAATGGCGTAATCAACCCGAGCAAGTCGGAGACTAGCAGTAAGTATAAAAAAAAAAGGACTGGTCCAAAAATCTCCATTTAACAATTGAAAATCCAGAAACTAATCTCTTGATTGTAGGAGAGGCTGTATGCACCGATTAACCTTCGAATCAGTGATATTCAACCCCCTCCCCCACACATTTTGAGGAAAAGAAGAAACATACGTCACTGTTTGCCTGATTCAGGCAGGGTAGCATATTACCTCGCACTTAAAGTGCAGACTTTTGAGATGAAATTTTAACTGGACAGAACTTGAAAAAATATGCATCAAACATGATATATGTCTATACAAACTAGACTAAAGTCAATATGCGGGACAAAACTGAAAGATAAGATTTATTAGGTCACCTGAGTCACTCAGGTGACCTATTGCTATCTGTTTTCATCCGTCGTCGTGCCAATTTCCACCAAACTTGCCACAAACTATCCTTGGGTAAAGATGATTCAAGTTTGTTCAAATGAAGGGCCACGCCTTCTTCCAAGGGGAGATAATTAAGAATTAATGAAAAATTAATGGTGTATTTTAAAAATCTTCTTCTCAAGAACCACTGGACCAGGTAAGATGAAACTTATGTGGAAACATCATCAGGTAGTGTAGACTCAAGTTTGTTAAAATCATGACCCCCGGGGGTAGGGTGGGGCCACAATGGACGATCAAAATTTTACATAGAGATATATAGGAAAAATCTTTAAAAATTTTCTTCTCAGGAACAGCAAAGCCCTGATTGGTCATATTTATATGGAAGCATCCTTAGGTAGTATAGATTCAAGTTTGTTCAAATCATGACCCCCGTGGGTAGGGTTGGGCCACAATGGATGATCAAAGTTTACATAGAAATATATAGGAAAAATCTTTAAAAATCTTCTTAAGAACAGCAAAGTCGTGATGAGTCATATTTATATGGAAGCATCCTCAGGTAGTGTAGATTCAAGTTTGTTCAAATCATGACCCCCGGGGTAGGGCAGGGCCACAATGGATGATCAAAGTTTTACATAGAGATAAATAGGAAAAATCTTTTAAAATCTTTTTCTCGGGAACAGCAAAGCCATGATTGGTCATATTTATATGGAAGCATCCTCAGGTAGTGTAGATTCAAGTTTGTTCAAATCATGACCCCCGGGGTAGGGCGGGGCCACAATCGATGATCAAAGTTTTACATACAGATATATTAGAAAAATCTTGAAAAATCTTCTTCTCAGGAACAGCTAAGCCCTGATTGGTCATATTTATATGGAAGCATCCTCAGGTAGTGTAGATTCAAGTTTGTTCAAATCATGACCCCCCGGGGTAGGGTGGGGCCACAATGGATGATCAAAGTTTACATAGAAATATATAGGAAAAATCTTTAAAAATCTTCTCAAGAACAGCAAAGTCGTGATGAGTCATATTTATATGGAAGCATCCTCAGGTAGTGTAGATTCAAGTTTGTTCAAATCATGACCCCCGGGGGTAGGGTGGGGCCACAATGGATGATCAAAGTTTTACATAGAGATATATAGGAAAAATCTTTTAAAATCTTTTTCTCAGGAACAGCAAAGCCATGATTGGTCATATTTGTATGGATGCATCCTCAGGTAGTGTAGATTCAAGTTTGTTCAAATCATGACCCCAGGGGGTAGGGCGGGGCCACAATGGATGATCAAAGTCTTACATAGGAATATATAGGAAAATTTCTTCTCAAGAACTGCAAAGCCATGATTAGTCATTTTGATATGATCAAAGTTTTACATAGAAATACATAGAAAAAATATTTAAAAAATTTCTTCTCCAGAATCACTGGGCCAAGAAAAATGAAACTTATCTGAAAACATATTAAGGTAGTGTAGATTCAAGTTTGTTCAAATCATGACCCCCAGGGGTAGGGCAGGGCCACAATGGATGATCAAAGTTTTACATGGGAATACATTGGAAAAATCTTCTCCAGAACCACTTGGCCAAGAAAGATGAAATGTGGAAACATCTTCAGGTAGTGTAGATTCAAGTTTGTTAAAACCATGATCCCCAGGGATAGGGTGGGCCACAATGGACAATGAAAGTTTTACATTGGAATATGTAGGGAAAATCTTGAAAAAATTCTTTTGTCAAGAACAGCAAATCCATGATTGGTTATATTTACATGGAAACATCAGGTATTATAGATTCAAGTTTGTTCAAATCATGACTCTGTTTTTGGGGATAGGGTGGGGCCACAATGGACGATCAAAGATTTACAAAAGCTCCTTTCAGTTTATTTTATACTTCTATGGATTGTTGTTTTATACTCAGGTGACCGTTAAGGCCCTTGGGCCTCTTGTTTTCGATTATAATTGTCGTACGCTCTACATGTACGCTACATGTTGAATCCAGCTGGAAGAATGTTACTCACAGGTAAAATTTAAATTAATATATTTTAAAAAGAAATTTCAATTAGTATTGCCAGCATCAGTAACCTTTGACTTTTACTTATAAATCTTTGACAGGAATTACATGTATGAATGCCGAAGACCCAATAATTTCCGGTTTGAAAGGACGATATTGCCGTTTTCAGTGCTGTCTTTACTGTTCCTTTCCCGTTTCGGAAACCCTTTCCTTTTATCGGACACCATCAAAGTATGGGTGACAAATGACAGGGGGCCAGATAAGCTAACCCTTAAATCACCCATTATGCCTTCTAGCTCAACATCCGGTTTCAATATCACAGTGGACCGGAACAGACGGTACCAAAAAATTCTGGGATTTGGCTCTTCGATGACGAGTTCCTCTGCCTGGAACCACCATTCTCACTCCATGGACGCCATTATGGAGTACTTGTTTAACAGGAATTACGACACTGACGGAATAGTTGATTTTTAACTTTAACATTTAGCTGTACCATTCAAAATTTATTCACCTTTACACTTCATGAATTTTCTTTTTTTTTACATTCACGACAATATTTATTATAATTTGTAAATTACAAAAAAAGTTCATGTTTGTGTTGTAACCTGAATGTTAAATAGTCTAAATTATTTGATAGATTATTTATATGATTCCCCTGATTTTGATTTTACTATATATTATATGTATAGATACACTTTTCGCTTTTCTCATGAGAAGGTTTTTAGTTCGAATTCAAAGTCGAGAGGCATCAGGATTTTACTAGGAGATGCTTCAGGAAAGGGGGAAAACGTCAGTCCAGCTCAGTGCAAAACAAGTTACATTTCCAAAGACATAAAAAGAATACAAAATCATAAAAGAGAATAATAAACTCACTCCTCCATGGCACCTGATCCCATGCACCTCTGATGTTTTGGAGGTCCGTGTTTGCTCTGCTTCTATTTTGTATTGTTTAATAGACTTTTGAGCTAGAATACAGTTCGTTATCTCCATATATTTCATTCACGATATAATTAAGAACATTAAGTCATCCGCCTTGAAAACATTACAAATATTATAATGTTAGGGTTGTTTCTAAATGTGCCTCTGACTATTCAATCCTTATGAACTTCTATCATACAGTGTATATTAATAAATATTTTCAAGGGATTAGTTATATCAGGCTTCCAATGGGTCCCTGCGACTTTCAGGCGGTGAATCCCTACACATATGACAATCATCCCAGCGACTTCAATATGGACCACTTTAGTATTGAAAAAGACAAGGAATTTATAATCCCCATCGTTAAGCAGGCACTAGAAATTAACCCAGATCTGAAGGTCATGGCGGTGCCCTGGTCCCCGCCGGCCTGGATGAAAACCAACAATAATCTTTTTGCAGGAGATTTTCGTGGAGGGAGTATTTATCAAGAGGCACTTACCAAATATTTTGTCAAGTTCATTCAAAGTTATGCTGGAGAGGGAATCCATATAAATGCGATTTCATTGCAGAATGAACCCGATTTCACAGACAAAAATTATCCCACCTGCATCCTTCACTGGTGGGACGAAACGGATATCATCAAGAACTATATGGGACCCATGTTTCGACGTTTGAACATCACGACAAAAATTTTGGTGTGGGATTACAACTGGGATTGGCCAACTTACGCCGACAACATTCTTAAGGACTCTGCGGCTGCGCAATACGTTGCAGGAAGTGCTTGGCATTGTTACAGTGGCCGACATGACGAACCTGGTAAATTCCACGATCAACATCCGACAAAAAACATTTATTTCACCGAATGTTCGGGAACAACTAATAACCATGACAAGGACATTGTGTGGGGATTTCGTCTCCTGATGATCGTCGGCAGACCAGAAACTGGGCGAGAACTGTCCTACTAAAGAACATGGCGTTAGACGAACACGATGGTCCACAGGTCGGAGTGGGCGGATGTCCGTTTTGTCGGGGCGTCATTAAAACCTACAAAAGTGGGACGTTTGACAAAACGATTGATTATTACTTTATTGGACGTCGCCCGCGTGGCGCAGTGGTTAGAGCGTCTGCTCTAGAGTCGCGGAGTAAGGAGTTGATCCTTACGTCGCGGGTTCGAATCCCACTGTGGGACGTGGAGACCGGTCCTTCGGATGAGACCGAATAAACCGAGTTCCCGTGTCGCAGTAGGTGCTGGCACG